CCCCAAAACCCCAAAACCCCAAAACCCCAAAACCCCTCAGCACTAATTATTTGTGATAGTGACTTGAAATAGAATTAATTATATTTTCATTCAAACATTTAGAATTTATAATTCAAATTTGATAAGAAAATGAAGCACGAGTGGGACTACGTTCAAGGTGGAAAAACTTCAGTTAAAATCCATAACGCACCAGGTAACTATTTTATTTTTACAATTTAATAGGAGGAAATTCATAAATAAGCTTTGGAAGTGAACCAACCAGCTATGGAAATCAAGGAAATAGCTATGGAAACCAAGGAAACTAATATTCAAAGAATCAAAGATAATATCAGGATCAAGTTAACAATTATCAATCCTCTTACTAAAAGAATGCCTATGATGGCTATTACGGATAAGTTCCAACTGAAAATCTTGCCACTGCTGGTGCTCCAACCAGAACCCTCGATCACAAGCATCACACTAAGGGCCAAGTAAACTAATATGACAACTATTCACCACAAAAATCTCATGGAGATGAAAGAAGCTCAGTTAAAATTCATAACCCTCCTGGTGGAAAGAGTAACTTCAGTATTGGCACTCAATTTTAAGATGAATACCAAAAGCCAGCTTTTAGATAGCAAGATATGAATACTAGAGGCTACTAAGAGTAACCATCAAAAGGAAGAGGCAGAGTTGGAAATGATTAGTTCTAAAGTTCAAGCGATATTTTTGGGACCAGCAATAATAATTAATCTAAGTATGGTGGCTAATCACAAGGATTCGGAGGCCAGAAAAATAAAAATCAAGATAGATTTGGAGGTGGATACTAACAACAAGATTATGATTACAATAATGACTATCAGGGTTTCGGTGGAAGATAACAAAAAAGTAACTAGTATCAACAATAATCTTCAAATGATTAATTATTCGGACAAAGAGTCGAATCAGGTCAAAACTGCGGGCCAACTACTGAGAAGTCTTCAGTCAAGCTTCACGCTCCCCCCGGTGGAAAGAGTAGCATTCAATTCTTTTGAAATCGATTACAAGATAAGGAGTTGCTCTCAAGCGATGACTTGTTGTGCAAGAAGATATGATATGATATTAATATATTTGCTAAAAACCTAAATATAAACACTTATTTTTGACTAATTGGGTGATAGGGGAATATCTGGTTTAATTTAAACTTTAAACTTAGTTTTTATGAATTAGTGTATAAGTAATATTCACAACCCTGGAACATATGCCCATAAGATATCTTTCTCCTCTCTTATCTTATTGATATCTTTCTTTTTCTCCAATTCAATTGGATTGAAGTTGAATTTTTCACAAAATGCCTCGTCCGTTAGAGGCAGAACATCTTCGAATTAATAATATTGCTGTGATTCTTTGAGTAGTTCGCATCTTGGTTTAAGTACATCTTGGTAATTAAACATAAGCAGCATAGGGAAAGTCTTCTCATTCTTTAGTTATCGTCCCAATTGTTTGCTGATATAGTTTACTTTAGCATCAAAACTGGCCCAAGATCTAAAAAATCATTTATACTTTAAAAATTACTTAAGGAAAAGATCAGGATGTCTCTTAATAAGTGTTCTTAGATAAATTACACTGCATTTACTGTGCTTCTAGATTAGCTCGACCTTCTTTTGTAATAGATTTCTCTTATTTTAGAAGATGAACTCAGGGAAGGCATCAATGATTTCAACCACATCTTTTGCTGGAATATCTAATTCCTTTCTACAGTAATCAAACAATTATTTGAAGTTTCCAACTCTACTTGCAAGAATACCACCACTTTATTTTAGCTAAACATTATTAAATGATCTAGATATACTTACAACTCTTACAACCTACTCCTTGGTAAATCTGTATTTCTTAAACTCTCCCATGAATTACTTGACCTTATCTAGATCACAGCAGAGCAAATAGGGGAAATGCATAAATATAGTTCTAACTTAAGAGTCAGAAATACCATGATATAGATTCAATAAGAAAGAGATTTCTTTGATTTTATGATCAAGGTCTTAACTGATAAGTTTAGGGCACTCCACAAGCTACTTCATAGCATTCCTGTCTGCAATATTCCATGATTTCATAGTCTCAAAGTATTTATTAAGTTATTTCTCGCTCTTGCTCAAAATATATGGGTATTTTACTACAAGAGTTCTTACTGCGTCAAGTTCAAATTTTCTTTACTCTACAAATACTTTGAAGATGACACTCATGCCTTCATCCTGATTATGTTCGAATAGAATAAAAGCTGGCTTGTATCTCATAATGTAATTTATTTCCTCCTTCACAAAGCCAAATTGGTCCATCAACTTTTTCTCAGCAGTGAGAATGTCTTTCTCAAAATCTAAACTGAGTACTCTTTAGGGGAATCTTCCTAATTTAAGACCTGGGAAATGAGTCTTCATTCTTTTAGTCACTTCATACTGGCAAATATCCTTATAAACTTTCTATTCCTCAGTCTAAATCAAAAATGTAATAAAATTATTAGTGTATTACCTGATGAGTGTAATCAGTGGCAGGATCTTATGATTGTTCTTGCTATTATGCTACTGACATCAATCTTCTCTGGTTATTTATAAGTTCTAAGTTCAATAAATTCTTGTTTGATGATTGAGTTGAGAAAGTTCTAGCATTCGCGAAGTATAGTCTAAACAGGAAGCTTTGAGGAAGTTTATTAGCAAATGCAACTCTGCTGATTAAAGTTTTGCTTATATTCATCATATTTAATTAACAATAATTTAAAGGCTATAATTTAATTCTTAATATAAGAGAGAAGTGCATTAAGTACATAATAAGTTTATACAATATTATTTTTAAATGTCACGAAAAGTTTAAATCATATTCTTGACTATTATTGCCGCTAGTCTCCCTCTCATTGCTATAGCGTAAATTCTTGATGATAAATCTATAATAGAGATGAAGATAATGAAATTGATTGCTATCCATTTGGAATCGTCCAAAGTTTAGACTTCAATTAAGAGATTCCATTGAATTTGGTGTCATGGGTGTCAGAGGTAATCAAAAACTATTTAATAAGTTTAGGAAGCATGCTAACATGAGATTATAGTAAAAATTGGCGAAAAATCTGCCAATCATAAGCCTGATACAGTTTCAAAAGTTACACTAGATGGTAAAATCTATCAAAGAATGGTATTTTCATTTGGACGATACTCAAAAGATCTTTCTGACAAGCAAGATATACATTACTCAGTAGGATAGAAAGATAACTATTCAAGAGAGGCCAAAATCAAAGGTTTTTCTGATCAATAGGACTTAAAATTGATTATTCTATCAAATATAGACGGTGAAGAGGAGACCAATACACTTAGTTTACTAAAGAGTGCATACAATAAAATGGGTGATTTGAAAGATAAATCAAACGTATTAGTGGTGGATATTACTAATTAAGGTGGATCAGATATGAAGATTATCAAATACTTAGACCTAATTCAGCCAATTACTATGAATTATCCTTACATTGTACTGAACTTCAACAAGGAAAGTTAATTTAGTAAATTATTCAAGCCACAGGAAAGATAGATCAGCGAAAGTCTAAGAGCTATTCAAATATTTAACACTAACATTATTTTGGCCTATTCATAAGATATTCTTTAGAATAAATAGGCCTTAACCGACAGACAAAAAGGTGACACTTTAGGTATATTATGGAGACCTCACAGTCATAACATTATGATCTTGGACAGACCAATTTATTGCTCTAGCTTAAATGATGCATGCACTAGCGATGCAATGGTCATAAAGAATGCATATTTGGAATTCATTAACAAGGGTCAATTAGATTTAATTATTAGTGGTAGAGGTGAGTACTACGAGAGAACTTTCCCAAAGTATGAGTTCAAGCATACTGAGTCAGAAGATCCAACCAAATTTATTAACCCAGAATATCCCATCTATATTAATATTAATGGTCCTAAGATTGCGAGTAAAAGTGATGAATGGACCTTTTAAAAACAGCAATGGTCAGCTTTCATAAGAAAGATTAGAACTTTCGGACAACTTACAATAACTGCTGGTCTGTTGAACAAGGTAGAGTTGACTTATAACTAATACAATGATAATGGAACTGAAGTTGATCAACTTACAATCCTAAAATAGATAGCAATTGAAAGCAACTTTGAAGTTGTCACTTTTAAAGGATTGTTTATATTCGGTTTCTTGATACTAGCCTTCATCATCGTTGCTCTGCTTAAACAATTCGAAGATTATCAGAAGATATTCAAAGACATTATAATTGAAAACAAACCATATCCTATTGATGAGTTAAGATCTATTGCTGAAGTAGAAGAGACACAATATACTTAAAAGTTGAAGCCAAAGAAGAAGGGTAGCAAATAGCGTGATAGTGGTGATGAACTTGGAGAGGAAGATGAAGATTCAATCAGTGGAATTGAGATGACTGAGTTGACTCATAGAACTACTACATCATCTTAGCAATCCTATACTAATTTAAATGATAGATAAAAGGCCGAAAAACTTAGAAAGACTATTGAAGATAGGATTAATGATAATGAAGATGGCACAAGAGAGGATGATGAAATTTAGCAACTTGCATCCAAGAAGAGAAACAAGAAATATGTTGATTGAATTTATTTGATATAGATTACTATTATTAAATAACAAACTTTGAAAATTCTTTTTGATGGGGTTTTGGGGTTTTGGGGTTTTGGGG